AGAGGAGAACAGCTGATCATTTAGCTGTTTTTACAGTTGAACTATCATCAGTTATATTAGCTATGGAATGGTTGCTAGATAATGATATTGGGGGTGGAAATCAATTTATAATAGCGTCAGTTAGTCGAGTAGCATTATTAAGTATAAAATCTGGTAAATCTTGCAGAATAGATTTGTTAGTAAAAATACACCAATTATTAGTACATTTACGTAATAAGAGATACTTTATCCTATTTGTTTGGATTCCTGCTCACGTAGGTATAGAAGGTAATGAGGAAGTGGATATTCTTGCAAAACAGGCTTTGAAATCGGAAATTGTTCATATAAATATTCCATTGAGTAAAAGAGAAGGAAAATCTATTATACAAAAAGAAATTCTTAAAATCTGGCAGGAGCAATGGGATAACAATAACGGAAGACAACTGTATGCAATTCAAAAGAATGTGGGGCATAATAAGGGTTTGAACAGAAGGCGAAAGGAGGAAGTAATTATGACAAGACTTAGAATAGGGCATTCTGGGCTTAATAGTTCTCTCTTACAAATAAGAAAGCATGAAAATGGGTTCTGCGATCATTGTAATCAGATGGAAACAGTAGAGCATGTTCTGCTAAAGTGTGAGAAATATTCAGAGGAACGTCAGCTGTTAAAGTCGTCGTTAAGCAGAAAGAATATAATACTGACTATGACCAATCTATTAGAAAACAAGTCAAATTAAAGCTGCAAGCAGCGTTGAAGGCCCTCGCAGCGAAGCGCCGCTGCGGCCTTACGGCGACCGCGGGAACTCGAGCGACTCTTCTCGGTCGCCATCGAGAACGCTCACGCTACCGCCCCACTCCCGTTCCATGGAGTGCACATTCACAGAACCTTTGACATCAGCTGCGACCGCGGATATAACTATTTTAATATGTAGGGGCGCTCTAGAGTCAAAAGTTAAAAATCACTAGTAATGTGTCCATAACTGCTTACTAATGACGCAACCAAAATCTGGTCCAGATCGGACGATATATCATTGAGATATACCTGTTGGAATATTGTAGGGGGCGCTCTAGAGTCAAAAGTTAAAAAACACTACTAATATGTCCATAACTGCTTACTAATGATGCACCAAAAATCTGGTGCAGATTGGCTGATATATAACTCAGATATAACTGATGGTATATTGTAGGGGGCGCTGTAGAGTCAAAATTTTAAAAAAACATACTACTGTGTCCACCAGGCCTAAATAATAATATACCATAAATTTGGTGCAGATCGGCTGATATATCACTGAGACAAAACTGTTTGAATAATGTAGGGGGCGCACTTGAGTCAATTATTAACCAACACAACTAAAATGTCCATCAGTTCTCAGTAATGACGCACCAAAAATCTGGTTCAGATCGGATGTTGTATCACTGAGATATAACTGTAAGAAGAATATAGGTGGCGCAGTGGAGGCTCTTGGCCACTTGTCATGGAAACCTGTTCAAAGGTGGATAATGATCAATCATAGTGATTTTGGTTCACCTGGGCTCAAATCTGTGCAATTTAAAGCCAAACGTAATGCAACGGCGTCACTTTTTAATTCGCCATGGCGCCACGCCCACATTCTCCAGCTATAACTGTTTTGTTGTTTAAATCAAGTCAGACCATGTTATCTGTCTTCTAACACAGGATCATCCTGATTATGTGAAGGGTGTCAAAGAAGGAGCATTCCAAACAAAAAAAGTCACTTCCTGTTCTGAGGGGGCGGGGCTTTGATGACGTCACAATATGACCTCAGGGTATATATACCTCCAGGTATATAACAACAAAAAAGGTTGACAACCTTTTTTGTTGTTATATACCTGGATGACTGAGAAAACAAACTTTGTGTTTTTGAAACCATTAGTGAAAAGGCCAGACTTCAGGGGTATCTGAGGCAGGCTTGAAACACAAGAGTCAGGGTGGCTTCTGGGTAATACCAGATGGCTAGGCCTCAGACTGACGAAGCCTCTTGGATGAGGGGCGAAACGTTTCTTTTTAACAAAAAAAAAACGAAGTCCAGATGACTTTATTCAACCTTTTTTGTTACACTTGAACAGGTTATTGAACTTCAAAAGGGGGCGGCACCAGAAGAAAAGAACATGTGGAGACTAAGGGGGGCGACTGAGAAGGACGGTTGCTGGAGAGGGCACGATGGTAAAATAGTCTTTCCACCTGGCAGAAAACAGGAACTTTTTCAGGAAGCACATGGACCAGTTCATGTAGGGACGAGACAGATGCTTGAAAATCTTAACGAGTGGTGGCATCCTTTTATGTCACACATGGTAAGACATTTCATTAAAACATGCAGAGTATGTGGACAGTTCAACCCGAAAAAGACTCTGACACCAACACAGGGAAAGTTTCCTTTATTGATGTGTCCAGGAAAAGAAATTATATTGGACTACACAGACATGGTAACGACAGTCAAAGGGAAAAGATACTTGCTTGTGTGTGTTGATACATTTACAGGATGGCCAGAAGCATGGCCCGCTGCCAGAGAAGACAGCAAAACAGTCGTAAAATGTTTGATTAACTATTATATCCCCAGGCACGGGTTTCCTGAGAAAATCCAGACAGACAATGGTACCCACTTCAAAAACCAAGACTTGCAGAAAGTGGAGGCCTGTTTGGGCCTCAAACACAGGTTTGGCACCGTATACCACCCACAGTCCCAGGGGAAGGTAGAAAGAATGAATCAGAATTTGAAAAACAAATTGGCTAAAATCTGTTTACAGAATAAATTGTCCAGGGTTGATGCTTTGCCTCTAGCCTTGATGTCAATCAGATGCTCTGTCAATTCTGCCACAGGATACACCTCATTTGAACTGACCACGGGACAGTGTTATCCTGGACCAAGATGTCCGCCTCTGGAAACACAGGTGATCTGCAGAAATTGACACATAAAGACTATTTTCATCAGTTACAGAGTGTGCAGAAGGAACTCACCAGGATCCAAGGAGAGTCCTCAAACAAAGACCTTGCCCCCACATCTCCAGAAGTCCAGTGGGTGTGGCTGAAGGTCATCAAACGAAAGTGGTCAGAACCCAGATTCACAGGACCACACCAGGTGATTGAAAGGACCTCACACGCCATCCGCCTCAGAGGAAAAGGTGAAATCTGGTATCACTGGTCTCAGTGTGCTCCAGCTGAGGAACCAGGACGGGAACTGGTAAAACACAAAGCAAGCCAACAGACCCAAGTTAGACATATGTTGTGGGAAAAACATCCATGGAGGACTACTATAGTCCTGGGAATCATATCAGTGATTTTATGTACGATCATTTTTTTTACTCGAACATACATGCATCATTCTGGGGGGTAGAAATTGTACTGATTTGCACCGGCACCGTAGGTCCGTAACCACCCAGGTGATAGACAAACAGGAAAGAATGGACAACTGCATAAAGACGTGGGGAGGGCTGGAAGTGAATTATACCCTGAATACGACTACTACGTTCCAAGTTGATCTATGTCAAGTCATAAATTGTGGGACACGCCCTGGGGATTGGAGAGAGTATGATGTGTACCTGTGTCACAGTGCTCCCACCCAAGAGTCATGCTCCCAGAGTGGCGTTTCCTCCCAGGGGCGCATTGAAGCAAAAAGCAGCATGTGTCCCTCTTGGGACCACGTTGTAGCGTATACAGGGACTTCCTGGAGCCCTTGCGTGGCAACACCATGGGCCTTGCAAAAGGGACAGTACATGGGGGGAGGTCCAGGAGGGAGTAATCCCCTCCTGCTGTCAGTGAAACAATTGAATGGCACCTTGTATGTGGCCATTCCACAGTGCCCCAAAAACAATGTCACTCTGTATCTGACTCTGGGAGTAGCGTATAGTTCTCACTATTGGTTTCCAACATTCCCCGAGGGAGTGATTAAAATTAATTTGATACCCTATACTCAGCCCAGCCTCATGGAGACTGAGGATTCGGGGGCGAAAACAGGACCAGTTATCACCTTTGACTATTCAAAATTAAAATCCACCGATTTGGTACGTATTGCTACGGGTTACTCCAGCACCAACATGTGGTTGGACTGGATCGCCGCTACTGCAAAAGAAAGTAACATGTTAAATTGTGTCGCCTGCGCTACAGGAAGACCCACCATGTACACGGAACCCGCTCCTCTGTATCCAGAGGACGAGTGGGGGTTTCAGTGTATGTTGAATTTAATGAAAAGCGTGACTCCACCCAATTGCACGACCCTAGCCAGTCTTTTCCCTCCGATTGATAATCAAACTAGAATCATTCCGGCCGTACCC